AAATCCTAAATGTGCGCTATTTATTGCTTATATATATCCTTAACTAAGTGAGTTTTTCTCTTTTTTTAGAATAAAGAGTTCATAAAAAATCATGGATTGCTTGGTGGCTATTTATTGCTGATAAACACAGTTATACACGAAGCAAAGGCATAAGAGCAGAAGACATTCTGGGCTCTTTAAAGATGTAAATCCAAAAATGTTCATAAGTTGTGCGGCCGGAGGTAGCCGTTAGCTGCTGCTATTGCCTGCTTGCTCTGCTCCTTTGCAAGCAGGAGAATCAGCAGACCTACGGTAATCATAGTCAACAGGAGAGGTAATAGGAGAGTTACCAGCTGAGCCAGAGAGGTTGTCAACAGCAAAGAATAGGAGCGAGCGGAGACTATCAACTCAATAATACCAGCCCATTGGGAATGCTTCGGGTCCGTAGCGCGCGCGTCACCATGAACACAAGCGAAGAGAGTGGCTGAGCTCTCCGGGGCGTCTAAAAGATATACCTCATTGAAAATCAGATTGTATGCCTGGTCGATGCGAATTCGGCCCTGAATAATATGAGAAGATGTAAGGGATTAGCCAACCAAAATATCTGGCACAGCTCAACTATTTTTCATTGATGCCTAAAGTTTGTAAAAATACACTAAACGCAGTTGTTTGGTGTTAATTATTTGGCTCAGACCTCGAATTAAAGGAAGATGAAAATCTAAGACGGAATGAACATAGAGGTTTTGATGAAAAAAAGGTGCTTAACTGTAAGCGTACAAGGATGTTAAAAACGTTCATATCTCTTGTAAATAGTTCAAACATTATCTCAATAACGATGTTAGTAATGTTATAGCCACAACACCCGATTTATGTTCAGCAAGATAAAATTTCAAAGAATACAGTAGGGTATATTTAATGGTTTTAAGAGTACTTGAAAACTTATAGTGCCAGGTGTCCCTTATACAATTGATGACGAAAATAAGAGCTTCAAATGGATTTTTTAAAATATTTTAGGGACCTAGAGTAGACATTCTAGCTACAAGAATCGGCTAAAAGGGACCAAAGAGATTCTTTAAATGTGATTCCTGTCTGTGGGATGAGTA